CTTCCCTCCGCCGACTCCAAACCCATCTGTTTGAACCAGATTCGCACCTTTTCAGCAAAATGTGGCCAATCAACTTATTGCTTGTTCCTAAACAACCATCTGTACCATTCCAGCGTTTTGCCGTCGAGAAAAAATGATGCCATGGTTAGCCTCTGATCTTCCTCAATTCTATAAAAATTAAAGTATCGTTCCGCTTGGAATATCCAAGTCTCCGAGTTGTCACCACGAAATCTACCCAATTCCACTGAAGTAGGTTTTTGACTGGGTATGGTGGTTGCTGGTAGATGTTCCTGTCGAGTTATATCCATGGTCGGTTCATGACGGTGTGTCCCTAATAAGATTAAGAACAAGAGTAGTATGAGCAAATAAGAGTAGATTGATTGTTCAACCATTTGAACCTTTTATTTATAGACTTTATACATGTTTATGATTAATATAAGAATCTTTATCTACTACGTATTCTAAAGGAAGAGTAATCATTTTGTTACAGTGAATAAGCTACAATAATCAAATTCTAGTTGATGATGGACTCTAATAGCCCTCTACAAGATCATGTTCTGGAGCGAACCATAAGCTTGGATCGAAGATTGAGGAACCGACTTGTGCCAACAACTTTGGTAAAGATAACTGCAATCTGATTTTGAGATGAAACATAGAGAACCACTAAAGATTGATCTTAAACCATCTCTCCGATAAAGTGATAATCAAGACGACTATGCTTTGATCGTTGATGAATGACATGATTACGAGATACAAATTGTGCACTAAGATTATCACAAAGGACTATGGGAGGTGCAGTGAGAAGAGCACATAGTTCACTGATAAGTTGTTGGACCAAGATTAATTCAGTAGTTGCAAAGGCTAAAGTACGATACTCAACTTCAGTACTTGAGCGGGCGACAACCTTTTATTTTCACGTAGACCAACTGATTAAGTTACCTCAATAGAATAGTTCAAAGCCATGTTGGGAGCCACTATCATCAAGATCACAGATCCAACCAGCATCCGAAAAGGCCATTAGACTATAATTAGACATAGGTCGTAGTAAGAGGCCATCATGAATGTATCCTTTTAGATATCGAAGTATGTGTTTGACAGTTGACTAATGAACAATAGTTGGTGATTGCATAAATTGCAATACTCAATTGACTGTGTAGTATATTTCTGGCCTAGTGATGATAACATATTGAAGAGCACCAACGACACTACTATATAAATGAGCATCAGGTAGAGGATCACCAAAAATAATAAGTCGCGATACAGGTTCAGTCGGACTAGAAATAGGCTTAGCATAAGCCATGTTTGTTTAACGAAGTAAGTCACGAATATACATGCCTTGAGATAAAGTAATCCCATTTGATGTTGGAGAGACTTCAATACCAAGAAAATAATTTAAGAAACCAAGATCTTTGAGAGAGAATTGCTGATCAAGAGTGTGAATAAATGTAGTGATGAAATCACTATCACTACTAGTTATAATAAGGTCATCCACATAGACAAGAACATATGTTGTATGCTTAGAAGCTTGCTGCACAAAAAGAGTAGAGTCAGATAAATAAGAGCGGAAGCCAATGTCGAGGAGAAAAACCTTTAACTTATTGAACCAAGCACGTGGTGCTTTTTTGAGGCCATATAAGGCCTTGTTCAATTTACATACGAAATGTGGCTGATGAGGATCAACAAATCATTTTGGTTGCTCCATAAACACTTGCTCAGAGAGATTACCATTTAAGAACGCATTGTTGATATCAAGTTTCCGAACAAACCACTTGTTTGTCACAACTTAAGACATGATTAGTCAAACGATTGTGGGCTTGATGACGGGACTAAAAGTATCAAAGTAATCAACACCCTCCTCTTGGTGAAAACCTTTAGCTACAAAATGAGTTTTGTGACGTTCAATTGATCCATCGACTTTCCTCTTAATCCTGTAGACCCATTTACAACGAACAATGTTAGAGTTAGACGGTGGTGGAACTAATGTCGATGTCTTATTTTGCATAAATGCTAAAAATTTTGTCTGCATAGCATGGTGCCACTCAGGATATTTGGAGGCTTGATGATAAGTTGTAGGTTCTGGTATGTAATAGGGATCAGGAGGTAGAGAATGGCGAGATGTTATAAGTGTCAATTTTCAGCTGAATTCCTCTCAAAGTGAGAGAGTCTTTCCATTATATAGAGAAAATAAAGATTACACATCCCTAAAGATCCGCCATTCCTATCCCTAAAGATCAGCTATTCTATCTATACAAATCTGCCATTGAATCCCTCTAAATCTGCCTTGTTATCCCTCCAAATCAGCTATTCTATCACAATATTTATTCATATGATTCTACAACAAATGTATATGATCATGCTAATTTATATCACTATATAATTACATTAATATATACAATCATTTAGTTGTCTATCATGCTAACATCCCCCCTCAAATTGATGCTGGTGGATCAAGAAGCATCAATTTGCCTACTAGAAACTGATGGCGTTGCCGTGCCATGGATTTTGTAAATACATCAGCTATTTGATGATCACTGGACACATGTGGAAGAGTAGTGACTCATTTATCTACAGCTTCTCGTATATAATGACAATCCACTTCAATGTGTTTGGTCCTCTCATGAAAAACTGGATTAGTAGCAATATGAATAGCACGTGTATTGTCAGCGTGGAGAGGAGTAGGATGAGATTGGGGAAATCCAATCTCAGCAAGTAATCCACGAAGCCATACAACGTCGGAGCAAGCAGTAGACATAGATCGATATTCAGCCTCTGTTGAAGATTTTGACACACTATCTTGCTTTTTACTCTTCCAAGATATCAATGACTCTCCAAGAAACATGCACCAACCAGAGACTGAACGACGAGTATCAGGACATCCCACCCAATCAGAATCACTAAAGCAATTAAGACGAATAGGAGAACCACTTGGAAAGAACAATCCACGAGTAGATGTTCCTAGAAGGTACCGAATGATGCGACGAATAGCCACCAAGTGGAGATGACGGGGAGCTTGCATAAATTGACTAACTTGTTGAACTGCAAAAGAGATATCAGGCCGAATAATAGTAAGGTAATTTAGACTCCCAACTAATTGTCGAATTATAGTTGGATCAGGAAGAAGATCGCCTTCCTTACATCGATACTTCACATTCAATTCCAGTGGAGTATCTACGGAGGAGAAAACTTGAAGACCAGCCAAAGAAATCAGATCCTGAGTATATTTGTGTTGGTTTAGAAATACACCTGAAGCAACATTATGAACTTCCAAACCCAAAAAATAAGTAAGAGTACCAAGATCTTTCATATGAAAAGAATCTTTAAGCTGCTGTTGGAGGATAGTGATTAATGAAGAATCAGTTCCTGTGATAATAATGTCATCTACATACACCAAAAGAAGAACACAACCTGTAGATGTTTTCCGAAGAAACAAAGATGAGTCATATTTGCTCTGCTCAAAAGAAAATTGTAGCAAAGTAGACCGGAATTTATCAAACCAAGCTCTTGGAGCTTGTTTTAATCCATACAAAGACCGCTTCAACTTGCATACATCTGATGTAGGCGATGAGAACAAACCAGGTGGAGGTTTCATATAAATATCTTCTTTAAGATCACCATGGAGAAAAGCATTTTTGACATCCATTTGATACAAAGACCAGTTTTGTGAAGCAGCAATGGCAATAATAGTTCGCACCGTAGTCATTTTGGCTACGGGTGCAAAAGTCTCCTCATAGTCCACCCCATACTCTTGTCTGTTACCAAGAACAACCAATCGAGCTTTGTACCGATCAAGAGTTCCATCAGAATGAAGTTTGACTGAATAAACCCATTTCCATCCAATTGGGCAGACATTTGAAGGACATGAAACAATGTCCCATGTGTCATTTTCTTTAAGAGCCAAAAGTTCTTCCTCCATGCCAACATTCAAGCTTGGAGGCTTGTGAGTAACCTGTTGGAATAGAGATGGTGGATAAAGTAGAAGAAAAACCATACCGTTTAGGAGTTTGAGACACTCTAGTAGATCGCCGAGGAGGCTCAAGAGGAGCAGACCTTGAAGAAATCTCAGATTCTGGTTGTGGAGCAGTCTCAGGTGGCGGATCTGTTTCGGGATGGGGTAAAGTTGGCCGACGTCGTTCATACACAAATCCAGGTTTGAACCTTTAAAAGAAGATGATAAATCCTCAAAAATAGGAAGAAGAGGAGAAACAGAAGATGAATCTACAATTGTAGGAAAGAAATACTGATTCTCAAAGAAAACAACATTTCTAGAAATACGAAATTTGTGAGAACATGGATCATAACAAATAAAACCTTTTTGTGAAGTACTATAACCCATAAAAGCACATTTAGTACATTGTACAGAAAGTTTATTGCGTTGCGAAGGAGGAAAATGCACAAAACAAACACAACCAAATGTATGAAAATCACTATAGTTAGGATTTTGGTGATAAAGACGAAAATATGGAGACTCAAGATTTAGCACTTTAGATGGCAATCTATTAATTAAATAGATAGCAGTAGACAAAGCTTCCACCCAATATTTAGATGGTACAGACGACTCAAATAATAAAGTACGAGTGACATCTAAAAGATGCCGATTTTTTCGTTCAGCAACTCCATTTTGTTGTGGTGTATATGGGCAAGAGTGTTGTGAGACAATCCCTTTGTCAAGCAAGAATTTTTTGAATTCATAAGACATATATTCTCCACCAGAATCAGATCTTAATAATTTGATGCATGTAGAAAATTGAGTCTCAATGTAAGCCAAAAATGTCTTAAACATGGAAAATACCTCAGCTTTGGATCGAAGAAAATACACCCATGTAAACCGACTATAATCATCTATGAATGTCACAAAGTATTTGAAATGAGCATGAGAAATAATTGGTGAAATGCCCCAAACATCACTATGAATGACATCAAAACACTTTATAGCACGACTACCAAAATTAGGAAAAGGAAGAGTTTTACTTTTGCCTAATTTACAAGTAGAACAATCAATGGAAGCAACTGAAAATTTATTTTTATTTCCCAATAAACCAGAATTTGATAAATGAGACAACACAACAGAATTTGGATGTCCTAGATGCTTATGCCAAACCTCAGTTTTACTAGCAGTAGAAGTACAAGCAAAAGATAGAACAGGAGGAATGGAAAAGTGTATAGGAAACAATCGTCCAACTTTAGGCCCCTTCGCGATTATCGTCCCCGACACCTGATCCTGCACAAGACAACCATTACGAGAAAAATTCACATCACAATTGTTATCTACCAATTGTCCAACTGAAATAAGACTAGTTGAGAGCTTTGGTGAAACAAAAACATTCTTGAAAGTTGGAGTAATGTCCCCAATCTTGGTAATGGATAAATTACTACCATTGGGAATCTGTATTTGTGATGGACCTTGATACTTACGAACATTTTTTAGGATGCTCGTTGAGTTGGTCATATGATTGGAAGCGCCTGAATCAACAATCCAAAAATTAGATGTAACATCATTACCTTGTAATCCCAATGCTGAAAAGGCTGACACGATCATTTGTTGTACCATTTCAGGAGTAAGAACTTGTCCTGAAGATGAGTTATCATCAGTGGAACCATTTATCCTAGCTTGAAAAGCATTGATCCTACGATTTTGAGGGCGCGTGGGACACTCTTTGATAATGTGTCCTTGTTGTTTACAATAATTACAGAACTTCTTGCTACAATTGCTAGCAATATGACCATATTCCTTGCAACTGTAGCATTGAGTTCTACTCATATCCCTGCCCTTTCCTTTACCTTGAGCAGCAAATGCAACAGTGACATCATTTTCTTTCTTAAAAGCATTTTGTGTGACAAGACGTTGCTCTTCACGAAGTAATTCCCTAAAGCAAACATCCAAAGAGGGAGACGGGTCACGATTCATCAAGTTAGAGCGAACACTCTCAAAGTCGGAGCGTAATTTCATCAAAAATTGGTCTCGCTTGCTTTGCTCATGAACTGCCTGAATCACTGATAGGGATTCAGTAGGTATTTTGGCATAGACAATATCTGTAAATTCAGCCCATAAGTTTTGAAATCCAGAAAAATAATCCTGAACAGAAAGACCTCCTTGAGAGTAATTAGCAATTTCATACTCCAACTGAAAGCGTCTTGCGCTATTATCTTGGTTGTAAACCTTTTGTAAGTAATCCCACATGGCCTTAGATGTCTTGTACGGCCTGAGATTAAGAACAATAAGAGGGTCAATTGACCCTAGAATCCATGTCATCACCCGAGCATCTTTAATCTTCCATTCACCTAGCTTTGTTGCATCAGTAGGAGCAGGATCGCTTCCATCTATATGGCCCCATAGTTCTTTGCCGGTGACAAACAACTGAAATTGAAACTCCCAAGAAGAATAATTTTTTCAAGTGAAACAAACACTGAAGGATTCAAAGTGATGTGAATTCATGCTTTTGAATAGCTATAAAACTACAAACACTCAAGAAAGCAACTAGAATGACCAAGAACAAAATTCCCATGAGGTAGCCAAAAACCAAGATTTTCAAAAAAAATTTAAAAGGAACCACAAATGACTTTATGAAACAAGACAACCAAGAGAAGGCTCTAATACCATTGTCAATTTTCAGCTGAATTCCTCTCAAAGTGAGAGAGTCTTTCCATTATATAGAGAAAATAAAGATTACACATCCCTAAAGATTTTCCATTCCTATCCCTAAAGATCAGTTATTCTATCTATACAAATCTGCCATTGAATCCCTCTAAATCTGCCTTGCTATCCCTCCAAATCAGCTATTCTATCACAATATTTATTCATATGATTCTATAACAAATGTATATGATCATGCTAATTTATATCACTATATAATTACATTAATATATACAATCATTTAGTTGTCTATCATGCTAACAATAAGAGCTTTTGGTTTTAGGGAATTGGTTTTTCTTCGAACAACCATATAATGGCGAGAGGTGTCCGAGGGGCGAAAATAGGAAGGATTTGTGGTCGGGTAAGAGAAATCAGTAGATGGTGGTAGATGCTCAGGTGGGTCAGTGGATGGTACATCCTCTATTTGTGGAGGAGCCGGAGGGGGTACAATAGAGGGCGTGTTTGTATGATTAGGTTGCTCAGATGAAGGCATAGATGATGCAACTGGAATATTTGATAATGACCTTGGAGCGATAGAGTATGTAGGAGAATGTGAACGCACTTGTTAGGAAGCTTGATCAAGTAAAGAGAAAGATGTGTTGCTAGAATGAGACGAGGGACAAGAGGATTTTGGGATCGGCAACATGGAGGAATATGGGAAAGTATTTTCATCAAATACAACGTGGCAAGTAATATAGATTCGAGAGGATGCAACATGATAACAGAGGTAACCTTTATGATGAGAACTATACCCGATAAAGACACAAGGAAGAGATCAAAAACCAACTTTGTGATGATTGTAGGGTCGAAGAATGGGATAACAAAGGCAACCAAAACTTTTAAGAAAACCATAATCAGGAGAACTTTTGTAAAGTAATTGTTATGGCGATTTGTAAGGCAACGATGAAGATATGGTAATATTGAATAAGTATGTAGCAGTGTGAAAAGCATGCTCCCAAAATTGGAAAGGAAGAGAAGCGTGAGAAAGAAGAGCGAGTCCTTTTTCAATTATAATTCGATTTTGGCGTTCCGATGCACCATTTTGTTGAGGAGTATAAGGACAAGAGATTCAATGATGAATACCATGATTTTGTAAAAAAGATGATACATTTCGGTACTCACCTCCCCAATCAGTTTGGACTGATTTTATTTTAGTTCCACACTGCGTTTCAATTAAAGCCTTAAATTGAGTGATAGTGGAAAGACTTGTGATTTATGTGACATGAAATATATCCAAATAAATTTGGTGAAATCATCAATGAATAAAACAAAGTTTGAAGATCCGTTAATAGAAGAAACGGGTGAAGGTCCCCAAACATCGGAATAAATTAATTGAAAAGGACTACTGCTAGAAACATAAGAATGAGAAAAGGGTAAGCGTCTACTCTTTCCTAGTTGATAAGGGTCACAAACAGTAGGAAATTCAGAACTAGAAATAGATAGCCTAAAGTTAGACACAAGCCACCGAAGTAGATCTTCATTTGGATGAGCCAGTCGACGGTGCCAACCAACAAGAGAAGTACGTTCACCAAGAAATACTGAAGGCGGGGAAGATCGAGAATGAGGCGATGCAGGAGGTTGAAGACGATAAAGGTCATCATCAAGTGTTCCTCGAAGCAGTTTCCTGCCCTATGAATCCTTCACATAACAAACATAAGGATGAAATTCCATGTAGACATTGTTATCACGAGTTAATTTAGCAACACTAAGTAAATTCTTAGAAATTTGTGGGGCTTGGAGAATATTATTAAGATGAATGGGTTGTGTGTGTGTAGACAAAATTGATGATCTAGTATGCGAAATGTGAATTGTTTGCTGATTTTTTTTTCCTTTTCAGAGGATACGTGATTGGAGGGAGTATTGTGCAGGTTGTTGAAGGAATAGAAGATGTGTATTGTATGTGTTGTATTGGAGAGTAAGGTTTTTCTTTTTTGGTGCTGATTGTTTTAGTGTAGTAGTTAGAAGGAATTTTTTAAAAATGTTTTTATTGTTTATGTTGTTTTTTGTACATATGTGTAGTGTGTGTTAAGGATCATTTTTCTTCTTTTTGTTTTTCCTCTATGACCTGCTGTGTAGTATGTAGTATATGGGTGTAGGGGTGAGTTGTGTTTGTGGGTGTAATGTGAGCTGTGGCAGAGCCAGGAATTTCACGAAGTTAGAAATTGCACAATAAAAGGTCTGTTGAAAAAAGGAAAAAATTGTTGCTAGTGAGATAAGATTCGAGCACGCAACGACTTACTCATTCAAGCTGTTTGAAACCCATTAAAAAAGTCTAAAACCATTGAGCTACAACAACCTATTATGTCAAGGGTGTCGAAAAATATGTTATTTAATTACTTTGTATATTATTTTACTTCCAAATAGGGGTGGACATGAACAAGATTGGTTGAGGTTATTCAAATATCAACCAAATCATTTGTGCCGGAATCAAACTAATAAAATTCGTATTTTTCTGGATCTTTTGGGTTTTTTTAGATTTTTTCTGATGAAGTATTCATACAAACATATTATTAACTTGTGTGCTTCAAATATTTCTTTAGTTATAACAAAATAAAATTATCTAAGGTGTTTCTTATGAAAATAACACAAACTTTGAGATGTGTGATAACACTAAAATAGACAAAAAAATAATAATAATGAAATCACATAAAATCAGTGAAACAAATATTGCAAAGTAATAAGTTATAATTATGAAAATGATCATAATTTAAAAAGTACAAAATTATGCTAAAATAAGTCTGACATGTATTTATAAGAAACCCAAGAGACTTGACCAGCCTTTCTTATCTATAAAGGAAATTACCCCATCGGCCTTTGCATCAAAAGAGGATTAATAGACCTCCAATCACCGCGGAGCCACAGCAGAGCTGCAACTATCGCTACATTTTACTGGAATCTCTTGTTTACCGAATGATTCCCCCGACTGGAAGAGAAGCTATGATCACTGCTCCAACACCACCGGTGGAGGTTTTAAATAGCTACGAGGCAACTCAGTTGCATGATGTAATACATCTCCCTAATTATTTTAAGAGACACCAAATGCCCATGGCTTACTAGTTGGTGCAACTTTTTATGTAGAAATTAGTTAATTATGCTACCTACACATGTAAGTCCTGGTTTTACTCTTAGTAGAATTTTGTAGCAAAACCACAGTTATATGTACGTATGTGTTGTATTCTCAATGTAATAAAAGCACTTCTTGTATATGTATCTCTATAAATCTATAACCTTATCTATAATTACATGCATAACCTTTAACTCCGCGTCTATTGTTGGAATTTCCACAACCCACAGGGTTACCAATGGAATACAACTCTCTCTGTGTCTTTTATAATAATACACATCACAAACAATACTCTTTTTTTTAAAATAAAATAAATAATTTTCATTTCAGATAATCAATTAATCAAACTTTTAACATCACCTCGATAAATCACACTAGTCATACCTATAAGTGATAAAAAAAACATAATTAAAGCTACAAAATATGTTAAATTTGAAATACGATCAGTTCAAAAATACATAACAACCATGTAGGTCATTACATGATTACTATCAAACCTGGTCACTGTTATCTCCTATATTCAGGTTGGTAAAAAATACAGAAATAAAAAAAAGATGAAATAGACATAATGTTTTTAATCCGAGTCCACAGAAACCACTGTGTTTCCATAAGAAATTTAATCCCCTCACTATACCCAAAGTTCCAGATTAATTCCTCCCAAGATAAAATGGATTAACCTGTTAAAGAAGTAGCGGTATCTCAAACTTCAATAACTTTAGCGAACGCAAGAATAGCAACAAGAGCACACACAGGCTCAGTCGATTGACAATTTTGTTTATGTAAGAAAATGTATGCAGAGAGGAAATTTTTTTCAGTATTTGAAAAACAAAAATGACCTCTTATTTATAGCTATTAGCAGCAAGGAACGCGTCTATTCAGACCCTTTTTTTTTCAGAACGTTGTGTCTTTTGGGAAAAGTAACGACTTTTCGAAAGGAACAAATCCTTTCAAACGAATTTACCGTTACGCGCGAATTTCAAATAATTTGTTGCGACATTAATTCTGTTATTTAACTAATGTTTTACTCGAAAATATAAATAAAAGAAAAATGACTAAGTTTTCAAAAAATTGATTAAACTTATGATTTAAGAGAAATCGAATTTCCAAATGAAACAGAGTGGCCAATTAATTTTTAGTAAAAATCAAAAAAAAAAATTCAAGGTTTTGAAAAGACTTAAACAGATAAAAATTAATTGATAACAAAAAGGGTTCGAAGTTCAATGTACATTCCGAGAAGGTGTTAGGACCCAAATATGCCCGCTAAGTTGCGATTGACTGGCGATTTGACTAAAATGACTTTTCAGATAACTTTAAAATTTTATTAATTGAAAAGAGACTCATTCATTTCTTATTTACTTATTTTATTTATTTATCACTATTATTTTTCTAATTAGATATATTCTAGAAGGGAAATAAACTAAAGGGGATCATTCCTAAAGGGGGATAAATTAAGTGACAAGATTAAGAATAAAAATAAAACTAAGTATAAAATATAAATATTTTGATTTGAATATATATATATATATATATATATATAAAAGAAATGAAATGACTATCTTTGGGAATTTAATTAAATTATACCATAAGATAAACAAAGTTAGTCAAACAACATGATAGAAATGATAAGAGGGGAAATATTAATTTTGGGCCCTTGGGCCCAAATCCTATCCTAAATCTAAAAAAATCTGG